CTTTTATATAGTCATTTGACCAATGGAAATACTGTGTTTCTACATAGGATGACAGGTTACAACCTTGTAACTTTGGCAACTGTTGGTGGGCCAAATCAAATGGCTTGGCGGGCCAAATTTGGCCCGTGGGCCCCACTTTGGGCTCCTCTGGTCTATAGTATAAATAACCACACAGGGCCTACGGTCAGAGTAGTTTCACTCATTTATATGGGAACCATCCTGTCTGATAAGACCAGTTTCATTAGTTTGTTGCATAATTTCTGGTAAAAAAAAAAAACATTCAAAGCAATAACTAGTTTTAATCATTTTTCCTTATTATTTTTGTCAGTTTTGAGACTTTTTTTTTTTTTTACCTTTGTGGGTTTCCCTTCTTTAACAAAAGAGTAAAAACAAATTGGTCTGTCTAAATTTTAGGGGTGCATTGATAAATTGTCTGGCCAATTTATCAGAACCAATTTCCTTAAATTAAAATATGTTAAAATCAGTTGATATTTAAGATAAGACCAGCTTCTCATCTGCCTCCACAAAGGTCTGAAAATCAGCCACTGTCCCCTTCTGCTCTGCTGTGAGCACTACTTCATGTCCAGTTAAAACAAGTTTGTATTGTTTCAAAGGTATTCAATGTTTTTCATAAAATAAAATTGGAACATTAAAGATGTGTTGTGACCTTATAACACCCGACAGTGTTAGTTATTTTAAAAAATCAGTATCGGCTGGTCAGACTTTTTAAAGATGGGTGATCGACCAGAAAATAGATTTTTTTTTCCTCCATACATCCAGACAGAGCTATAGGCAGGTAGAACTGGAGGAGTTTATACTTCTTCCTGCACTGAATGACTACAAAAACAAATCTATCAATCAGTAAATGTCAGAGCACTGCTTTCAGCTGGTAATACTGAACAGGTAAAGAGTACAGATGTCCACTCACTCAGCCATGGCCCTGTTCTCCTCAGCTCTGAATCAACACACACAAGTTTGTATTTCTATCCTTATTAGGACCATTCGTTGACTTCCACTCATTTCCAGTTGTTTCTATAACCTAACCTGACCCCAACCCAAAAACAGATTCCACCATCTTTGGACCAGTTTTTTGTCCCCTTAAAGAATACTGGTCTCAACAAGGTAGGTGTGTAGACCAGAAACAGTCCTAAAAAGATAACACAAGTAGACACACACACACACACACACACACACACACACACACACACACACACACACAGAGAGAGAGAGAGAGTTGTGTATTTGTGTTGGACATGTCAGAAGACAGTATAAAAGTATAAGGTATTTAAAGGCACAGTATTTCTCATGAGGTAAAAACACCACAGAGTAYAGTTCTTGGTAAAATGGATATATTTTTTCTCACGACAACAAATGTAGGACAGAGCTACTCACCTGACTTCAGTCCAGCCTGTTGATGAGCTCATAAACTTATTAACTAACTAACTCATAAACTAACTAACTCATAAACTAACCAACTAACTCATAAACTAATTCATAAACTAACTCAAACTAATTCATAAACTAACTCATAAACTAACTCATAAACTAACTAACTAACTAACTCATAAACTAACTCATAAACTAACTCCTAAACTAACTAACTCCTAAACTAACTAACTCATAAACTAACTCCTAAACCAACTAACTCATAAACTAACTCCTATACTAACTAACTCATAAACTAACTCCTATACTAACTAACTCATAAACTAACTAACTAACTAACTCATAAACTAACCAACTAACTCATAAACTAACTCACTAACTGATAAACTAACTCACAAACTAACTAACAAATTAACTAACTAACTCATAAACTAACTAACTCATAAACTAACCAACTAACTCATAAACTAACTCACTAACTGATAAACTAACTCACAAACTAACTCACAAACTAACTAACAAATTAACTAACTAACTCATAAACTAACTATAAACTAACTCATAAACTAACTAACTATAAACTAACTCATAAACTAACTAACTATAAACTAACTCATAAACTAACTAACT